AATACGACCATTCATTAGCAAATCCAGTGCTTGTTTTCCAGAATATGACACATTCTTACCTTCAGAAGCATGGACTGCAGAGGTTGCCGCCATATGTATCGACCAGGTTTTGATCATCCATCCAGCGCATGTTTGGCAACTTCATACAATCACAACTCCTTGATTGTGCTTTTGCAAAATCTGGAGCACCAGTTCTTGGAACTTGTCAGGCTTTTTAAAAGTCCACAGAGACCTGTTGATGTGCGGTATAGTTTTGCTCATCTTCGTTGTCTCTGTTGGGGTTATACCATGAATGGAGTTAAATACATCATGGCTGCCATCCATGGTTAAAGAGAACATAATCATGCAGTATGTAGCCATGAGGCATCCTCCATTTTGATGATACCCTGATTAAATCCAACCTTGCTTGGACGCTATCTTCAAAGAAAATTAGAGATACACCTATTAGTAATTGCAATGTAGGATTTCCACAGTTCAAACAGCGCCTAAAGAATGCATCAACCCTCCCATGTTGATCCCAGACCCAGAGAATTTTCAAGGATATTAGATCAACTACTCTTAAAAACCCCTCTTCATTAGAAATCATATTTAGAGTTTTGGAACAAACTCTTGCTTTATAGAGAGCACCGTACGAAGAAGAAGTGGTTTTTAGAAGGATCTCCCACAAAATATCTGAAGGGAGAGTGTTAGAAGTTTATTAGGTTTGACATTTTCTTAGGTCTGAAATGGAACTGATCTTCGTTGTCATGGTGTATTTGTATACAGAAAAAACAAAGACAAACATATACATCGGTCGGAAAGATACACCATTAAAGTCGTTAAAGTTGTTAAAGTCGTTTCATTGATAACCATTTCATACATAAACCATTAACAAATAAAACAGCAGACTTCTAACATAGACAAATATAGTAGACTTCCAACGCAGAGTTCCAACGCAGACTTTGAAACTAGACTTCGTTACACCATATGCAGCCTTGTCCTTCTATTCTGAATACTTCTTCTTCTTCTTATGATCAATATTCGATGACTAAGTGAAATGCACAATAGTTTAGTAAATAAGTCAATGAATTTTGCATTGAACATTATTAGATGAGTAGCTGAATTCAACTTACACAATGTAGTAGGGTATGACTAGGTTGCTTGCATTTTGAACAGCTGTATTGTTTGTGCAGCTTCCTTGGATTGGTGCTTCTCCTCCTAGAAATTTCTAGCCATGATTGCCAGACAGACTTCTTCTTTCTGCCTGGTTTGCGGCGAATGTCAGGCGGAAAACATTGTGGAAGCTGGACTCCTTCTACTACTGAGATATTGGGATTTATATTATGAAAGTATGCAACAAACAAGTAGTCTTTCGAGTAAGTAGGACATACAAACGAATCCACATGTATCTCACCCTCTAATGCAACTGCAATAGCATGTGAATAAGGGATTTTCTCGATATAAAACACACCACATTCACACATTCGATGTTTCAAATCGACAATACAATCCGTTTTCCTCCTTTCACATAGAATCTCCAAGCATCAATGCGTTCCACCAACATTGCATCCGCATAATGTCCACAAATCGCCAGAAAATATTCAATTCTCCAAATATTATGTGTTGTGAGACTCAAAGCATCTTTTCTGTATTTAAAAAAACCACCTCCCGAGATTCTCTCGTATGAACTCCAAGAGAAATGATACAGGAAAACCGTGGGCTTTCTTAAGTGCAGAATTTATAGATTCTGCGATATTGCTAGTTTTAATATTGTATCTGTCTCCACAGAAATGAACTCAGGGCCAAAGATTCTCATCGGCTTCTTCCAAATACTCAGCAAGATCAGGCTTGATCTGTCGTAACTCCGCCATGTACCGGTTGTAATCGTAGAGGTTGTACGCATAAGCAACATGTTTGACCAAGTACATCAAGTGCTTCCCCTTAAATTTTGTTACTATGTAATGTTGTAGAGGATAATAACATATCACTCATTTTGTCCATGGGAAAACAGTTTCACATGCATTCTTAATAGAAGTATGCCTATCAGAAACTATCACCAAAGGATGACTATCTGAAACACATTCACGCAGTTTTTTTAAAAAACATTCTCATGAAGCATCATCTTCACCATCTACAATTCTAAAAGCCAAAGGAAATATCTGAAAATTATCATCTTGTGCGGTTGTCATAACAAAATACCTTCGTATTTTTCAGTTAGATGACATCCATCCACCACAATAACGCTTCTCATGTACTGAAAACCAGTTATCGATGCTCCAATGACCAGAAATAGGTATTTGAGTTTATTCTTTGAATCAACATGAAGAGCTGTTACAGTTCTATGATTGGCTTTTTGAAGTGCATGTAGGTAAGCTGGGAGACTCACATATCCATCTTCAGCTGTTCCCTTCACCAATTGTTGGGCATATATCAAAGATCTGTATGAAGTAGTATAATCCATCTTGATGCCAAATATATGCTTCATTGAATCATTGACATGTTGTGGTGTAAGTCCATCGATTATGCCCAAATGGCTTATAAATAGTCTGCCAATATACTTCGGAGTAGACTTTCCACGGTGAGCCATTCGCTTTTCTACTGAACATGTGTGGACTTTCACATACTTTATCACCCAAAACGTGGTTGCTTCATTCTTCACACTCGCTATAACTATCCAAGCACATCATGGCACCCGGAATTTAGCCAAAAGCAGAGGTTTGTAGACTCAGATGTTTTAAAAGCAAATTTTAACATGATCGCTAGCTGTCAATCGCAACTCTGACACTACAAGAAAAACATCATTTTACGACAGCCAAAATGGTCGTTATTTCGTCGTAATAGGGCTATTACGACGAACTACCGACGATTACGAAATCGTCGTAAACTCATCGTCGTAATAGACAAATCGTCGTAAAACCGTCGGTTTTGTTTCGTCGTAACATCGAGGGAAACGAAATCGTCGTAAATGCGTCGTACAGTTTACGAGGATTTTACATCGAATTGCGTCGACTTGGTCTTCGCTTGGACCGTCGTTAAGTGGTCGTTAATGGTCGACGTAAGATCGTCGTAAATGTACGACGCAAAAATCGTCGTAAATCAGTCGTAAAATATTTAATCATTTCGTCGTAAAATCGTCGTAAAGTGCGGACGTATAATCGTCGTATTTGTGGTCGTACATTTTGGTCGTAAATTCATCGTAATATTTACGACGAATGTACGACGGTTTTAAATAAAGATATTACGACGATTATACGACGTTTAATATAATTGAAAATTAAAAAAAAAATAATTCGAATTAAAATTTAAATTAAAAAAAGTTAATTTACAATTTAAAATTTATTAAAATTTCAAATTAAAATTAATTGTAATTTACAAAAAAACCCTACAGCTCTAAATCTAATTCTAAATCTATATCGTCGATCCCGTCACCGGCCTGCTCCCCATCATCCTGGACGTGTTCCTTGCCGGGTCTTCGGTTTGATGCTTCTGCCGGCGCCTGATCTCCGGCTCTAGGAGGCTCAACCCCGAGAGATCGAAACATCTCCTCGTCCGTCTGCACCGGCGGTTGCGTCCTAGTAGATGACCCGCCGGCAGACAATCCGACAACCCCATCAGCCCGCAGCTTGTCCAACTGCGCCATGAGCACCGGGTTGTCGGCTCCCATGATCTCGAAGAGACCGTAGAGCTGGTCGATCCTCGTCTCGTAACGGGTCCGCATCTGATCGATCTCCTGGCGGATAACCGGATCCGGGACCCGGACGTGACCAGTCGCCGTAGCTCTCGGGGTATCACGGATGGACTCCATCCCTAATACCCGCCCCTTTTTCTTTGGGGCAACCTACAAATATTTAAAAACATTATGATTAGAAATTCAATTTATAACTAAAGTTACATTAATTAAATATAGTAATTAAATTTACCTCTTCGAAAATCTGGTCCATCTCCGCCACCGTCAGCGCCGGGGTCGATTGGACCGAGCTACCTCCGGGAGACATTTGACGCACCTGCTGAGTCAGCTGCGTTTGTCGCTCCTCGATCGCCGCACAGGCGGCGTTGTAGATCTCCTCCGCCCAAGGATCCGTGAATTCGCCGTTCCGCTTCTTATGCGTCTCGGCGAAAACCTTTGTCATCGGAGGAAGTTCTCCTCCGTTATCTTCGACCTAAAAATCAAAATGAAAAAATTAGTATCGACAAATCAAGGTTAATTATTTGAAAACAAAAAATCAGTAATTTTAATTTACTTAGCATCATAAGACGTCTTCCGGCAAAAGGAATCTGGCCGGAAGTGTGCGGAACGTTCTTCCGATTTCCCGCATCGTCAGTAGCGTTCCTGAAAAATATTTTCATTAGAATATATTATAAGAATTAATAAAAACAAATAATGTAAATATTAATGGAATTAATTACTTACCTAGATCCGGAACACTTGGCGGCTGTAGTCTGGTTGTGCGGATCCAACCAGTACTGGACAAGGCCCCGCCAGACGGAATTGGCCATAGGCGCCGGCTTGGCCTTGTCGCCGTCAACCTCCCACTTCCGTTTCCAGTCGGAAACGATGTTGTTGAGTCGGAATTTGACCTTCTCCTTGAAAGCCATCTCCACACGTCCGTGTGTGGATGTTTCCCAATGCCAGTTTTGCTGGAAAAAAAAAAGTTAGTAATTATTGTAAAAAGTTAAAATTAAAAATTAAAATTAAACGAAATTATAAATTACTTACCGCAAAACACTTGAACCAAGTGTCAAGTGTGGCCTGATCCAGCTTCTTCCAGCTGGTATGGGGTTGTACGAAAAACCCCTTGATGATATCCGCAACGTTACGACCGACTGCATTGTCGGTCGTAAACCTAGTCAAATAAAAAGAGAAAAGTAAATTAATTTCAAATATATAAGAATAAATATTAATTAATTTAAAAATATTGTAGAAAAAAAATTACATACAAAAATGTTCCCGGGGCTCGATCCGGGTCGAGTTTGTTCATGGTCTCACGACCCGGCTGTGCCAGAAGATCTTGTACCGTAAACTAGGCATACGGTACAGGCGGGATCGGATCAGCTTCAGGATCGGCCGGTGCGAGAGCCGCTGGTTCGGCTGGTGGTGGTGGAGGCGGTGCCGGCTGCGGTACAACGACCAGTTGGGAAACCGTCCGTTGTGTTCCCGAGGACTCCGGGATGGCTGATCCGGTCGCCGAGGTAGACGGGGTCGAACCGTCAGAATCGACCAGCTGTCGGTAGTGAAATCTCTTAGCCCGAGGAGCCATATCAACAGAATCTACAAAATTTTTAAAAAATTTGTTACTAATTTTTCAAATATTTATTTAAATTTACAAAATCCAGGCCTATCTAAATTCCGAAACCTAAATCTAAATTTCGAACCTAAATCTAAATTCCAAACCTAAATCTAAAAGAATATGTAATGAACTTAATTTAAAAAAAAAAACTTACAAATATTGGCTGGGAGAGTAGGGAGAGAGGGAGAGGTTTAGGGTTTAGAGAGAGAAAGTTTTGTAGAGAGAGAGGGGAGAAGAGAGAAATGAGCGACGAAAGGGGGAAAACTCGCGTCCCTTATATAGATTTTGTGATCGTCGTAAAATCGTCGTAACTTTACGACGGTTTTACGACGATTTGGTTGTATAACAGTCGGTCCACTGCATGACACGACACCTGTCGTGATGTGATCGTCGTAAAATCGTCGTAACTTTACGACGGTTTTACGACGATTAAACCTAAAATCGTCGTAAAATCGTCGTAACGTCTAAACATTTATAACCTCGTACCTCGGATCAAGAGCCTATCCGGTGCAAACGGTACGACGGTTTTACGACGGTTTTGGGTATAATCGTCGTAAAATCGTCGTAAATTTACGATTATATTACGACGGTTTTACAATGTTTTTTAAAAAAGTGAGTAAACCCTAAATCTTATAAATGGGGTATTGCATAAATAACAATGCAAAGGTTATTGTATCCTAACATATAATAAAAGGTTTACAACTTTGCATGTATGATGGATTTATGACATGAGATAGTAAAAAATGAAATTCCGTAATCTAATATATAACCTAATATACAACTTTGCGACGATTTTACGACGATTCAGTTGTATAACAGTCGGTCCACTGCATGACATGACACGTGTCGTGATGGGAGTGTTTGACCGTTACGACGGTTTTACGACGGTTTTACGACGATTTTACCCAAAACCGTCGTAAAATCGTCGTAACGTCTAAACATTTATAACCTCGTACCTTGGATCAAGAGCCTATCCGGTGCAAACGTTACGATGGTTTAACGACGGTTTTAGGGAACTTAGTCGTAAAACCGTCGTAAAGTTACGATTATATTACGACGGTTTTACGAAGTTTTTTAAAAAAGTGATTAAACCCTAAATCTTATAAATGGGATATTGCATAAAAAACAATGCAAAGTTTATTGTATCCTAACATATAGCAAAAGGTTTACAACTTTGCATGTATGATGGATTTATGACATAAGATAGTAAATATTGAAATTCCGTAATCTAATATATAACCTTTCACTTAACATTTACGAAAACATGCATGAACTTGTAAATATGTATGTTTTTTTCAAATTTTTGATTTTGATCTGATTGATAGCATTTCATATAAAATAAGATAACCAATCAAAAACATTTGTGAAATACCTTACAACCAATAAGATATAAAAGATTCAAGTTCTTGGATTTCAACATTACGACGATTTTACGACGAAATAGTGTACTCGTCGTAAAGACGTCGTAATGCTTAAACCCTATTCATTCAGGGCTTAAAACCTAGACTTAGGGTTTATAACTTATAAAAACTGTCGTAAAATCGTCGTAAAATCGAATTTTTTTCCATTTAAAAAATTCAAACAAACTAAGTTACAAATTACATAATAACAAGCATTCACTAAATACAATGCATGAAACTCAATCAGATTCATCTTCCTCTATTACTTCATCACCATCACTGTCGTCATCCGCCAAATCGTCATCATCGGTTTCAGCAAACTCATCATCACCTTCTTCTTCTGTATCATCGGGAAGATCTTCAACTTGCCTGTTCCGAGGGTCTATTAAGAAAATCTCCTCATCAACATCTGGTTCAGACAGATCTACGCAAGTGTCCTGTTGAAGTGGAACATCCTCAACCCCTACAATCTTGCCCCTCGGAGCCACTTTAACTACAGCTAACCATGAAATTCCTGTTGATCGAACTCGAGGGTATGGCAGAAACGTTACCTGTTCTGCTTGAGAAGCTAATATAAATGGCTCAAACCTGTTGTACCGTCGTGATTTGTTCATGTCAATAACTCCAAACTTGTTTAGACGTACCCCTCTTCCAACAGTTGGATCAAACCAATCACATTTGAAGAGAACAGTTTTCAGCCTTAACAATCCAGGATACTCTACTTCAATTATTTCTTGCAGAACTCCATAAAAATCTATTTCACCACTCACACAAACTCCATAGTTAGTTGTCGCCCGCTTTGCACCGTGACGGTATGTGTGAAAAACATAGCCCCGAGTGAAATACATTGAGGCTGTAGTCATGGAACCATGTTGGAAATCATCCGGATCATTCGGGTCCACCTAATAAGAAAAAAATTCTGCTTTAATTTCTTGATTTGGATATATAGCAAATTAAAGTAGTCTTTTAATTAAAATTTTATACGTACTTGTCCTTTTAACCACTGGGCATAGTGTTGATCCTTACGATCATTGATTTCAGTTTCAAAAACCCCAGATATGCTTTCTTTAACCTCATCAACAAATGTGCTGAGAAAAACAACAAATAGTTATTAATACTGACAACTCATATAAAGATATTATTAATTAAAAAGTACCTTTCATACGATGACAACTCTTCACAATTTAACAGGATATACGTATGTGCACTGTGATAATCTTTTTCATTGGACCACCAAACTTCTTTTAGGTTTCCACTAAGACGTCTGATCGGCGAGAATATGTCAGGTACACCTTCAACGGCATATGTATGGCCAACTCCTCCATCATCATATCAACGAGTAGCTCTTTTGCGTGTTCGTACTTTCGGTGCAAAATAGTATGAAGTGAAGTGTGAAGTCTCTTGCGTCAAGCTTCCCGCCACAATTGAGCCTTCCACTTTAGCTAGGTTTTTGGCTTAACCTTTAAGATGCTTCATGAAACGCTCGAACGGATACATCCACCTGTACTGAACGGGTCCACCGAGCTCTGCTTCGTGTGGGAGATGAACAGGAAGATGTTCCATAACATCAAAAAATGATGGTGGGAAGATCTTTTCCAAATTGCACAACAAGATTGGAATATTCAATGCCAGTTGTGATATTACATCAACTGATAATGTTCGTGTACTAAGATCCCGAAAAAAAGCACCAATGCCTCCAATAGCTTCATGGACGTTTTTGGACAAGAGTTCATCAAATGCAAATGGAAATAATCGTTGCATAAACACATGGCAGTCATGGCTTTTCATCCCAGCAAACTTTACCCCCTTCTCAACAGATTTGGAAAGATTAGAGACATACCCATCAGGAAATTTAACGTCAGAAGAAACCCATCTGAACAATGCTGACTTTTGATCTGCACTCAACCGAAATACAGGAACTGGTGCTTTCCCGTTTCTCAGTAGATGCAACTCACTTCTGTTGCATAAATCAGGCAAGTCCAATCTTGACTTACCATTGTCTTTTGTTCTTCCCGCTACGTTCATAACTGTATGCATGATGTTATCAAAAAAGTTTTTTTTCAATGTGCATGACATCAAGATTGTGTCTGAGCAGATGATCTTTCCAATAAGGTAGTTGCCAAAAGATACTTTTCTTGTGCCAATTATGATGAACTCCATAATCTTCAGGCATATTTGCAGGAGTGTGCCAGTTTCCCCCACGCGTTACTGTTTCCTCTGCCCTCCAATAATCGATTTGCGCCTGTATATCAGCTCCTGTTAAATTAACGGGTGGAGGGACATGTACACTTTTGTTCTTCATAAATAACCTCTTGTTCCTCCTATATGGATGGTTATCCGGTAAAAACCTCCGGTGACAATCAAACCAACAAGTTTTTCTACCATGTTTTAGCTGAAACGCATCAGTTCGATGAAGACAATAAGGACAAGATAGCCTCCCATGTGTAGTCCATCCTGATAGCATACCATAAACGGGGAAATCGCTTATTGTCCACATAAGCATAGCCCGCATAGTAAAATTTTTCCTCGTAGAACAGTCATATGTACGAACGCCAGTATACCATAACTGATTCAACTCATGTATGAGTGGCTGCAGAAATACATCGAGAGCTCGCTTCGGATGATTTGGACCTGGAACCAAAATACTTAGGAAAAGAAATTCCCTTTGCATGCACAAATCTGGAGGAAGGTTCTAAGGAGTTAGGATTACTGGCCATAATAAATATTGTCTACCAGACATACCAAATGGACTAAAACCATCAGTGCACAGACCAAGATAGACATTCCGTTTGAACTTAGCAAAATCTGGGTATACCATATTGAAGTGTTTCCATGCCTTTGCATCTGATGGATGAACAACTTCTCCATCTACTTGTGTATGTTCTGCATGCCATCTCATTGATGCACCTGTCCTTTCAGATTGATAAAGCCGTTTTAACCTATCAGTTATAGGGAGATACCACATACGTTGGTACGGTATCCTTTTACGCCACCAGCTTGCGGCATGTATCTTGGTTTTTGGCAAAATCGACATTCCTCCAGCTGATTATCATCTTTCCAAAAAATCATACAGTTGTCAACACATACATCTATCATCTCAGAAGGTAGACCAAGACTAAAAATCAACTTCTGAATTTCATAGTATGTTCCCGCTGCCAAGTTATCCTCCGGTAGATACTCCTTCAGAAGATCAGCCCAATCATCCATGCAAACCTCAGCCAGGTTATGATCTGTTTTAATTGACATCATCCTAGCTGCCAACGATAATTTAGACAAGCCTTCTCTACATCTTTCGTAGATTGACTGATTAGCATTGTCTAACAAATCATAAAATCGTTTGGCATCTACATTAGGTTCCTCAACAGCATTATCAGTATGCGTTTCATGAAATGCATCAATCACCATTTCGTGCATCCTATCATGATCTACACTTTGATCATATTGATACCGATTAGGCTGATGACCATAATTCGATTCATCAATATCAACATGACTTTGATAATTACTACTACTACCAGCATTTCCATGAGTATTACTGCCATATCCTTCTCCATGTAGATACCAAACAAAATATTGCGGCATAAACCCTTTATTTACTAAATGCGTCCACACGGTTTTGGTTAGTGTATACCTCGTATTCTTGCATTTCAAACAAGGACAAAACATCTTCCCACTATCTTTCGTTCTCTCCATATTTGTAGTCTGAAAAATAAATATTTCTAACCCGTTCTTGAACTCTTCTGTCAACGCCCCATCTGAATCTTTACGCATATACATCCAACTTCTTAGCTCGTATATAGACATCTTGAAAATAAACTCAAAATACTATCTCTTTTTATTGATTAGACAATTGTGTCACGTCTAGCCACGTGAATGGAGTAAATTAACCTTATAATATTATTACTTCTTTTTTCAAAGTAATATAACTCTTAATTCGGGTTTCCAGCAATGGACAACCCAATATATAAGGATTTACAACATTATACTAAAATTTAAGAGACCTACAATGGGTCTCAAAGATGAAGATGCTCTTATGTTTGAATGATGATGTGTTGTGATTGAAAGAAGGAATGAAGATCTATTTATAGAAAAATTTCGGGCTTTACAACGCTTTTACGACGACATTTTACGACGAATTTACATTCAAAAATAATATTACGACGACTTTACGACGATTATGCGATAAAATCTTTCCCTTGCAATTGTTAGGTAAACATGTTTTAAATGTTTTTCACCTAACTTCTTTTTCGACGTAAAATCGTCGTAATATGTACATCGAAATGCAGTCGTCGTATATTCGTCGTAATTTTACATCGAATTTACGACGATTTTACATTTACTAGCAAATCTCTCGTTATCGATGTATAATCGTCGTAATTCGTCGTAAATTGTACGTCGAGTTTACGACGATTTTTTTATACGACGGTTTTAAAATTAGACGTAAGATCGTCGTACAATCGTTGTAAGCTTGCGACGATTTGAAAACCGTCGTAATGGACCGTTGGAAAACGATTGTTTTCTTGTAGTGTGATAACAGCTTCTCCTTGGTAGGGAAACTTTCTCTAACATATATATTGTCAGACCATGACATGGGCGTTCTTCCTGTTTCACCAGAACCGTTTCTGACATTATCAATACAGACTTCATCTTCATCATCATCTTCATCTTTCACTTTACTGTAGACACTATAATCTTCCCCGTCAGAGTAAGCTGCATCTTCTCCATCAGCTGGATCTTTAATATCTTCATTCGCATCAGAACTGGCTGCCTCGTCATCACTAGTATATTCATCATCTTCATCACATTCCTCACCTACATCTTCATTTGAGTCTTCCTGGTTCTCCTCAGTATCCATCTCCACTCGACTAGACAAACAAATACGTACCATATGCATTCTGCTTAACGCAATCAAGCTTGAAACTTATCTATCATTGGTTATATGCATTGGAGGTGTATATGGAGCCATAGTTTACAACATTGAATCCGGTAGTGAGTAGGATAACTCGACCAGCTCAGTCTTCTTGCCCAGATTATAATCATCTAGTGCCATTTCAGTAAGTTCCCCAAAGGTGCAACCATCCTTCAAAAAGAACATTCTTCCTCCTTTCCCACTATCCACCACAAAATGCCACAATTTCTCCTCTATCTTTCATTCTCCGTAAACAACAGCTATTTGAGCCATTCTCTGAAAAACATGCAGATAAACCATATTAGCAAACACATACACATACGAAGAAGAAATTTTCTAGCTATTAGACTTCATTCGCAGACAACATTCATAGACTGCAAATGAAGTCTACTTGTAAATCAAAAAAATTCGATTCTACAATAAATATCAACTTAAATCAAATGGAAATCATTGAGTAGTTCAATCACTTGCTAACAAGCATTGCAAAACCAAAAAAAATTAAAAAAAAAACGTTATAAATATATTAGAAAAGGGTTTTAAAAAATAAATACAACAAGTAGACTTCTCATACAGACTGCATGAGTAGACTGGAGAAGAAAACTATTTTTTCTAGTGGAAGTCTGCGAAAGAAGTCTATTTAAAAAAAATTATTTTTGCAATTGACCAAAACGTTGACTATATCATATTAAACTTCCAACAGAAAATGTTAGTTTTGCATTTGACCATGCCATTGACTTTTGGAGTATACTTCTTAAATGAGTAAATTTCTTTAATAATCTACTAATGAAATCTACTGGATTCAATAGAAGTCTACAAGATAAAATATGTTATTTTTGTAATTGATTCTTCCTGAAGTCTACTTCAATGTTCTGGTCAAACATAAAAGTAACGTTCATTTTTCGGGAAGACTCTGCTTTAAAAACATGAAATTTGTTTAACATAATTCTCAGTTCTTATAACATTTATAATTACAAAAAAAAAAAAAAAAAAAAAATCGATTGTGCTCCATATGGCATACTGAAATATCGATCAGATCAACCATATGAAGATTACAAAGATAAAAATGTAGAAAAGTAACTAAAATATTAGTTCTAGAAAGTTACCTTTCCTTGTTCATATATTATTTTCATATTAGTTTTGGTAGCTAAAAATATTAGTTCTTGATTGTTATATCTTAGGGTTATATAGTTTTACCATTCATCTCTTATGCAGAACCGTGCCCAGAGATATAAAGTCCGTAAGCAGTGTTAAAAAAAGATCCTTAATAATTATTTTATTAAAAATTTTAATTGATCACATTTATCCCATATTCATATAAAACCATTCTAATTTATATAAAAATTTAATAATTATCATTTTAAAAATATTTTTTAAAACCAGTAATAACAATCATCATTCTAAACAAATAAATAAAAAGTAACCAATCACAAATCAAACTAAATCTGATATAAAACAAAATTAAATGAAAAAAACTTAATAATGAGCAAATACCTTATGATTATGTGATTATTCAGTAAGAAGAAAAAAAAGTAAGAAATTTTCAAAATTCAAACAAAAGTAGAGAGTTGAAAAGATAATTTTATATAAAAAAGTTTAGTCTATTTAATTGTTTAGGATACTATGTATGTTGTTCTAATATTTATTATGTTGTTAAACTTTTTTTTTAAGTTTGTGTTTTCAAAACTAAATCTAGACTTTCTAATTTGTAATAACTAATAAATAATATTATAATTAAGATTAAATTGGACCTTCTAATTTTTTAAAAAAAACTGGGTCTATAGGTCAATGTTTCTTTTGTTTGCACATAGGCATGGCCTAACCGGGAAAGAAAAAAATATTATGCCTAGAAGGTCCCTATACCACTCTGCATGAGTTATAAGCATCCACTATACTAAAAAATGGGATGCCTTACGATGAGCGATAACCCTCTAGCCTTATCGTGCCCATCCTCAAATAGCACTTATTGGCTTAACAAAATTGGTTCTTTACTTAATCAACCAATGATGACTTCTCACCAAATAAAAGTTTCTGTTACAACAAGTTAAAAATCTGAAGAAAAAGACGTGTCATAGATTATACGTGCCATCGTATTAATAGCGGTCCCCCCCACTTACTTTAAACATTATGACGAAAAAAATATCAAATATAAAACAATGTTATCATATGAATTATACATTCATGATTCATTCCCTATATGGCTATATTTAGCAAGAAAGGACAACATCCATAGGTACACTTATAGAGATTATTTTAGTATAAAGTGGACAAAACACAACGATATTACAATTTATAACGTGTCACACTCTCATTGCTTAACTACCTTCTTATAATGCAAACTTGCCCTCAAACTCTTTCCTCCATCTCTGGAGTCTCACATTTTTGCTGAAGTTCTTGAAAACTAATCATACTTTTCACATTTTATAATGCCCCGATCCGACCCCACCCGTGAATATGCTTGGAATCAAAGCGAAGAAAACTGCTTGATCGGGTCAATTGTGCAAGATGAAGGCCACATTTACTCGTTAGCCGCGACGAATGATCTTCTCTTCACAGGATCGGACAGTAACCACATTAGGGTTTTGAAGAATTTAAACGAATTTAGCGAGCTTAAATCAAACAGCGGGTTGGTGAAAGCGATAGTGATATGTCGTGAAGAGAACAAGGTGTTTACGGGTCATCAAGACGGTAAGATCCGGGTTTGGAAAAGCTCGCACAAGAACCCGCGAGTGTACACACGCGCAGGGAGCTTACCGGCTTTAACAGACGTGTTGAAGAAGTCAGTGAAGCCGAGTAATTACGTGGAGGTGAGACGACGCCGTACGACGCTATGGATCAAACACTCCGACGCCGTATCGTGTTTGAGTCTCGTGGAAGATCAAGGGCTCTTGTACTCCGCTTCGTGGGATCGGACGGTTAAGGTTTGGCGGGTTCACGACTTGAAATGTTTAGAGTCTATTAGAGCTCATGACGACGCCGTGAACTCCGTCGTAGCCGCCGGTTCCGGCGAGGGTCTTGTGTTCACCGGTTCGGCTGATGGAACGGTTAAGGTTTGGAAAAGGGAGATTCGAGGGAAGCGAACCGCGCATAGTTTGGTTCAGACTTTGCTGAAGCAAGAATCTGCGGTTACGGCTTTGGTTACGAGCCACGTGGCGGTTTATAGTGGCTCGAGCGACGGTGCTGTGAATTTTTGGGAGATGGGAGAGAAGAAAATGTTGAAGCATTGTGGTGTTTTCAAGAAGCATAGGCTTGCTGTGCTCTGTCTCGCCGCCGCCGGAGAATTGGTGTTTAGTGGTGCGGCGGATAAGAAGATATGCGTGTGGAGGAGGGAAGGGAGGGTTCACACGTGTGTATCGGTTTTAACCGGTCATACCGGACCGGTTAAGTGTTTGGCGGTGGCTGAACCATCAGGAGGAGAGGAAGAGGACGGAGGAGATGGGAAGTTGGTTGTGTATAGTGGAAGTCTTGACAAGTCGGTCAAAGTCTGGAGGGTCCCACGTCATCAGATGTAGGGACTTCATGTTGGTTTCGATAGATTGGGATGTATGTGTAAGTAAATAAGAACCATAACCCAATCAAATGCTTAATTGATTGTAAGGAGTCCTTATTAAGGAAGTCATGTAGGGTTAAAATGATTATATTAGTAAATTAAAATATCATATGCATGTCCATGATTTGAGAGAGATTAATATTCAAATTTAGATATAAGTTAATAATTTTTTTTTTTTTGGTTAAGCTATTAAGTTACTAGCTATCAGATGGCTACTGAGAATCGACATTGTTAAAAACATTATTATTCAATAAGCAAAACTATAAGAAAAATAGTGCAAATTACTAACCCGCTAGACGGATAAACTTAGGTTATAGATTTTATTATTTTAGCGAAAACTTTAACGGCTGAGACTTTATCGAGCCATGACTCATGAGTAAATTTTTTCTAAACAAAAAGGTTGCGAGGGTTTTATAAAGTATAGATGTTAGAATTTTAACACTTTTAAATAAAAAAAGTCTGCTTGAATAAATTATCTCTTTAAAGACTTTAACTTTTATAAAAATCTTCACAATGTTAAAAAATTATTTGCTAACCATCCCTTTATTCCCTTAACTTCTTATAAATACGAGTTATATACGGATAAGTAGATTTGAGATATGAACCATAAGCTTGGTTGAATGAGTTAGAAAATTAATATCAAAACGCCAAAAAGTTCATTATACGTATTATAGAAATATCCTGTAAATGCGACAAATGTCAATTTAATTTTTATTATTTAAGGTAGATACTGACGAGAAATTCGGAAAAGCTACCTATCAATATTACAGTTATTTGAAAGTGATGGGTGGTTATAATCTCATTGTGACCGTCCATTATTTTTCTTTTTCTCTTTTTGAAATTTATTTCGCCAATGGTTTCTTTGAGCAATGTTTCTTTTTCTTTTTAGTGATTCCCTCGTGCAGAAAAGGAAACAAAGGTACGATCTACATGAGCTAGAAAATGTCAATGTTTTTACTCTATAAAGGTTGTAGGATCCACATAACTTGTTTGTGTTTCCTTCTTCTCAACGACCACTTCTTATTTAATCAGCTACCACCTAGCCATTGTTAGTGCCTATCTTCATTATTATTTTGATCATGCACACTCTTCTTATCACAAAATGAAAATTCTAAAATAACATCTATGCCCATACCTTCTCCAAACAAGGGGTATAGCCAAAGCTACCTCTCTTTATTTGATCCTATCTTGTAGCGGTTGATTATGAATATCACATTGCAAAGGTTAAACCGGCCGGACCATTGGATGAGGTGAAGGTTTGGTTAAAGAATCAGAACTGGATCAGCTGAAGTTGGTTAAGACTTAAGAGAATTACTTCATTATATAGTCTCTATGTCTCTGTTATACATATATAAAAAGTTGGCATATATAAAAAGTTGGCTCATCTCCTCTTGATATATATAAATATACAACAATCTTCTCTCCATCTTGTTATGACAAAATATCCATATATCTTGACATAGCAAATATATATATGTACTCCATGTTTTTACATATTTAGTAGATACATTTAGGTAAAATGACTTGTGCTTAGTATGGTTTGACGAAATATATGTACTATCCATTTTGATTTTTTCGCTCTAATTTGATCCAAAATTTTTTGAGATATGTAATCTTATAGCAAATTAAAGCAATAAACTGAAACAGAATTGTTAAGAATTGTATTTTTATGAAACTTGCATACATTTTTTGGCATTGTTTTTATATTACTAAATCAAAAGAAAATTAAATAAATATATCTATTAACTAACATCTTTTTTCAAAAACAAATCTATATAATTATTTGTGTAGTGATTTGCTTATGTGTCACGCTCACAACGATTTTCACAGCATTTTGCTTACGTATCGGCTCCAGAATAATTTTCGGTCATAAAAAGATTGTTTAACCCTATTTTGCAATTACATGTCATTTTTTATTGGTTCTTATCTGATGATGTGAAAAAAAAATATAAAACAAACTGGTCTAAATTATTATGGTTTAGTGTTTAATTTCATAGTCAATCAAACCATTTCTAAAATTATATATAACCAAAATTTTAAAAACATTTAACAAAAACTTTTTTATAAAAAAAAATAGAATATATATCTCTTAGTGTTTATCATGTCTTATGTTTCTGAAATTTTTAAAAAAATATCTAACAAAAATGTTAAAAGAAACAAAAAAATAGAAACTATTTAAAAAGTAATGGAATATCGTTTCAAAACAAAAAATTCTAAAATTAAAAAAAAACCTAACAAAAAAGTTTTTTTTAAAAAGAATATATATATATATATATATATATATATATATATAACTAATAGAATGACGGTATTTTTGCTGTTTAAAACACATAAAACAGTGATCAAAATCGAATAAGTTCATACGATACTTCAAAAAATTACGTTTAAAATACATAGAACAGTGATCAAAAAATCTCAAAACTTTTTAAACTAAATTATTTGGATACTATTATGTTTTTATTTACTCTATTTTATTCTATATTGTTTTCACGATCATATTTTCCAACACTAAAATACAAGGAAATTTAACAAATAAATATATTCAAAAATAAAAAACAAATGAATCCAAACTACTATTAAATTTTCAAATAATCAAATATATTCAAGAGTGCACTGTTAACTAATTCATATTTTATTTTCGATATACAATAGAAAAGTACAGTATAATCTAATCTATTAAATATATACGCCTCGAGAATGCAGTTTATAGTGGGAGTTGATAATTTAATTAAGAGAAGATAAAACCCAGTCCAAAATTTATACACGAATCTTTTCCTTTTTTCCATAAGTAAATCAGGATTTTGTTAATTTCCTTAAGAAAATAAGGAAAGCAAATTGAGGACCAGAGTTTTATATTAACAATTACACAGACGCAAAAACCACCAAACTAAATCTATAACAAACAAAAAAAAAAACTGTTGCAAAAACCCTAAAACCCCGATCGAGATTCTCTTCGACAATGGCGAATACTTGTAGAATCAGCTTCAAGATAATCTGCATCATGATCCTCTTGCTCTTCACCAATCACTCTGCTCTTTCTTCTTCTGCACGAATCCGTCTTGACCGTGTTCACGAGAACGTCCAGAAGCAACAACTCCATCGTTTGACTTTTGATGAGGTTGAGATAGCTGATAGGGCACGTCTTGATATCTTGTAATAAATTAAAAACAGATAACTCAACCCTCCCAAAAATTTCACAAAGAGTGTCGTTTTAAGGTTTTATTTTTGTTTCACAAATAGTGTTGTTTTATATTTTCAATGCAAAATTTTAAACAATATTCCAGTTTTAACCCTATTAATTTAATGTATTTATTAGATAAAAACAAGTTATTTAATGTATTAATAAAGAATAAAATTGTATTTTTAATAATTTTCTTAATATATGTGAAAAATGTCAGAATGAGTTAGCATCGGTTTGGTTGCTATCAATTTCTCAAGAGATTTGGATTTGTGAGTTTCAGTGTGCTGATTAAGTAATTGCGTCTGCTCCATTTCCAAAGTCATCGAAAATGAAAGTGGAGCAACCAATAATATATATATATATATATATATATATATATATATATATATATATATATATAAAGAGAAGTCATTTAGACCGTCGTCTTTGGTTCTCTATATATTCAACCTTCGATCATTTACCTGAACAAATCAATGTTGTGTTATAGTTATGGCAACTCAAAGCAACAAAGAACGTTTCTGGGGTGGACTTGCAAAAGCCTAGGAAGAGCAATGGCAAGTTGACGTACGGCTCAAGGCAGGGGACAGTGATGAGGGTTCAGCTATCTCCGCCCACAAACTAATTCTGGTTTTCTTTCTTCTTCTTCTTTCTTTTAGATTCTCTCTTATTGATCATGATGCAGCTACATCTATTGATACAGTGACGTAAAGGGCACGCATCTAATTTATCATTTAGGTTTCTAATTGTTTCGGCTTTATGTTCAGGCCATGTTAATCCTTTGGTTTTGCGCATTCGGGTTACTGTTCGGGTTATTCTCTTCTAAAGTCGATTGTGATCTATAGATGAGAATCCTATATAAGGTTTTGTCTTTCTTCTTTGAATATTCAGCTTTTGACTAATAAGAAAACAGAGTTTATACCCAACCCTAGAATTGGATCTCTTTGATATCGTATCTTAGGAATTCCTACGCTGCACCAGATCATCAGCATCAGGAACGAACTCTAGAAATGCTGAAATAATAATGATTACTGAGTGGCCCTTACGTGAATTGTTTTCTTTTCTTGGTTTGATGAAGTTTTCTTAACATATGTGTTTGGATTTATAGGGATCAAGATCAGAGGTTCTTAAGAAGATGTTGGAATCAGATGAGGTCAAGACTTTGTCTAACCAGGTGGAGACGGTCATACTCTCAGAGATGAAACAAGAAGAGTTAGTAGCTTTTGTTGAGTTTATGTACAGTGATGGCTCTTTGCTTTCGGAGAAAGTGAAGCAACACGTTCGATCACTCTATCTTGTGGCAGACCAATACGAGATTCTGCATCTACGGGACCTATGCAGAGATGAGCTTATATCTTCTCTAAATTCGTTGAATGCTCTTGAGCTCCTTGAGCTCGCCCAAACCCCTTTTGACAAAGTTCTCAACGACGCAGCCTTCAACTTCATCAAAATGAATTTAAGTACGATTGTTAGCTCTGATGAATTCAAGTTGTTCGTCACCAATAACCCAAAGCTTGCCGTGGACATAATGAATGCTTCTCTTTCGCGGGTAAGCATCAATGAACCATCCAAGACCAGAATTGAAAACAGAGTTGTAGTACAGGCCAATGTCGATGAGGAGGTGGTACATGTCAATGAAAATTTCAATGTCGACGAGGAGGTGGTACATGTCAATGACAATGTCAATGTTGATGAGGAGGTGGCGGTGAGAAAATCAACACGACCAAGAAAGCCAAATAGAAAGTATTTTGATTACTGAAGTCATGTGACTTCTCTCTTTTCAGTTATTTGCTTGTTCAAATAAGAGAACGAGTCTTTATATCAATGAGAAAATTAATAATCGCAGGATCTTTGATCCTTTAAACTCTTATAAAACAATAGTCACTGGTCTAAAATAGTTATTTTCAAGAGTCTTTTGGGGAGCTTAAACTTGAACAAAACTAGACTCAACTAAATGAATATGATAACGGATACAGTTACTTGATATTATTATTGTTTCCAAGTTTTTCTTTCTTTCCGTTGGTGTATTTTGGGTATCTACTTACAAATTTGAAACCTTATGGCACACACCCCAACGAGGAAGAAAATTGCTTAAATTTTCCCGAGATGCAATGAGGACTATATACAGTTATAAGAACAGTTTAATTAGTTTTTAGTCCATAAAGGCAAGAAGCGTAGGAGAAAATAACTACATAATCAACCATAGGACAAATGCCCAGAATGCTCCTCACTCTTTGAATTTTATTCTATAATACTCTTCCCAGTAATATTAATTTATTTTTTATTTTTTTTTTAATTCAAAAGTTTAATGTAATGTCTAAAAAACAAATAGAGTTTTCGTAATTACAGATCCAACCAGTAAATGGATCGGGTACTGGGCTTTTTGATGGGTTTGGGTTGGATCCAAATAATTTGTGTAATTGTTTTTTTTTTGCTGCGTCTCTTTTTGAAATCAAAGAAATTAAAAAAAAAACGAGAGAAGAGAGGAGAAGAGGAAGGATGAAGAACCCTAAATCGGTCCAAATTGGAATCGGACATTTCGAAGAAACCTCAATTGTAAGACTTCAGAACTCGATTGACAGCGAATCATCCCCTACATCACTTGATCGGATGGCTCAGACGAAGACAACCTCCGCAAATCCTCCAACCTCTGCAAAACCTACATGTTTGGGTAAAGGATGTCCACCGACCCTAAGCGAGTTACAGAAACTGGTGAAAAGTCGGCAAGAGAAAGTGAAAGCCGGCAACGATGATGACGATACAAATGTGGAGGTATGTTTCATCCATATGGATTATTGTGTTCATTAAGTAAAACTGGACAAACTATGTAAAACTGGAGTAACTAAGTAAAACTGGAGCAACTAAACGAAATTGGTACAACTAATGTAGGTGAACGCCGAGGAAAAAGAGAAGAAAGAGATTCCGAAAGACCAAGAGGAGGAGGGAGGCAGAAAAAAGAAGGATGAAGTAAAAGACCAAGAGGAGGAGAATCCGAAAGAGCAAGAGGAGGAGGAAGAAAAGGAACAAGAGGACGGGGAAGAATCAGACCACGAGGACGAGATAGAAAAGGACCAAGAGGAGGAGAAAGAAAAGGAACAAGAGGAGGAGAAAGAAAAGGAACAAGAGGAGGAGGAAGGTGAGGAACATGAGGAGACAGAAGATGATGATGAACAGGAGGCATAAGACGATGATGAACAGGAGGCAGAAGACGATGATGAACAGGAGGCAGAAGACGATGATGAACAGGAGGCGGAAGAAGATGTAGACTATCGAAGCGAAGCTATACCACCAAAGAAGTTGTGCTTTGAACCCGGTATGTTTAATATTAACATCAAGCTGTCAGGAAGATGCTATATTGAGAAGGTTGTGAAAACGTTAGAAAATGTGCTAGATGATAGAGAATTGAAATAGTTCAAAACGCACCCTCAGTTCAAGCACTTCTTCCACATTTACTTGGAAGAAAATCATAAATCACAGGGGATGTGGATGCTTATGCTGCGTATGGTGCCATCAAGCAAGATGAAGGAATGCTGGTTTGTAGTAAATGGGGTGCCCATCCGGTATTCTTTGAGAGAGTTGGGTCTTATTTCTGGATTGAACTGTCGAAGCTATCCTAAGAACTACGAAAGTTTAGGTGGTGACAGTAGTAAGTTTGTTGCAAAGTATTTTGGTGAAGGGAAGAAGAAAGTAACACTGAAGGATGTAGATGAGAAGATGGAGTCAATGAAATCAAGTAAAGTGAGAGGTTGGATGAATATTGATGTCCTTTACTTCTTAGCCAACATAATTGTTGGGAAGACGAAAACAGGTAATACTACTGCAGGTGTAGAGCCTTTCTTTTTGAGAGCGGCTAGTGATTTAGATTTGTGTAAAACATTTTCGTGGGGACGATTTGCATTTAATCAGAATATGAAGGACATTCACAATAAAGTGAAGAATTTAAATGAGAATGTGCCTGAAGGTGCGAACAAAGTGTTTCCTACTTTCATCATTCCTATGGAGGTAAATAAGAATAACTGTCATAATGTGTTGTCTGATTCTTCGTATGTATGTTCCTTTTAATTTTGTGTACTAATTCATGTTGTGTAATGCGTAGCTACTAGCTTATGAGGCAATTCCAGCCCTTGGTAGACATTTTAGAGAAGCTAATGTAGAAGCCGAGGATAGCTGTCCAAGGATGTGCAAGAGCAGGTTCAAGAAAGGAGATTTGAAAGGTTTTGCACTTTCGGAAATAAATTCTCAACTTGGTGCAACAAAGGTTAGAACTCAAATCTTAGCAAATAATTGAGTATATTATCCATTGCTAGGATCAACCTGAATGATTTTTTTGGTTTTAAAAGGATATTCATAGTGTGTTGGCTCCATCGAATGATGAGAAGCAACTACTGGCTCTCATCATGGACGATGAGGATATAGACCAAGATGTAGCGGATTATGTTGTTGATGGTTGGAAATCGATTTTGCTGGAGGAGAAAGGTGAGATATTCTTTCAGGAAATGTTCAAAAAAATATGTCAATAGCTGAAAGAACTAAGGGAAAAAAGCATCGGGTCCTAAAACACCAGCTTGTAAAACCGTATCAGCTCGTAAAACCGCATCGACTCCTACAACTACAATTGATGTAGAGAAACTGATGGCAGACTTAGAAGGCTTGACGAAAACAGTGGAAGATGGATTTAAGGAAATGAGAAATAAGTCAGCTGATCATGACAAAAGAATCAAAAAGATGGAGCTGTATGTGGGTGAAGAGAAGAACAAAAATCAAGAAGACGAAGAGAATCGTCTTAACTTCTTTGATGCAGATTACCATGGTGGTGGTGAGGAGGCAAATGATGGCGCTGGTTGTTCTGGGAAGAAGCAAACAGAAGGAGAGAATGTGGAAGAGAATGTGGAGAAGGATAAAGAAGAGAAAGAGGAAGGAGCTGATGTGGAGAAGGATAGAGAAGAGAACGAGGAAATCGACAGAGAAGGGTCAACCCGTGTAACCAGGAGGACTAGTGGACGAACAAGTAAAAAATCTCAATACAAACAAACCCCTTTTACAGAAGATAAGAAAGGGAAGAAAAGGTCAACGAAGGATGAAAAGAAGAAGGGAGCTCCCAAGGGAAAGAAACAAAAGACTTCGAGTTTAGGGGCTGGTTTATGACCTTGTTTAAAACTTTTGCTTGTACTATTTTGCTATTCTATTTTGGTTGGACCTTGTTTTAAAACTTATGCTTGTAATATTTTGGTTTTAAAACCCAGATTTGTACGGTTTAGAACAAATTTGGTGGCACAACTGGTAAAACTGGAAGTACTAATCGGCTAAATTCCTATTAATCGGCACAACTGGTAAAACTGGAAGTACTAATCGACTAAATTAGTATTAATCGGCTAAAGTTATACTAATCGGATAAATTTGTTTGTTGGTACAACTGGTAAAACTGGTATTACTAATCGGCTAAATTTGTTTGTTGGCACAACTGGTATTACTAATCGGCTAAATTCGTACTAATCGGCTAAACTTGTTGGCACAACTGGTAAAACTGGTATTACTAATCGGCTAAATTCGTACTAATCGGCTAAATTTGTTTGTTGGCACAACTGGTAAAACTGGTATTACTAATCAGCTAAATTTGTTTGTTGACAAATTTGTTTGTTCGCACAACTGGGAAAACTGGTATTACTAATCGGCTCCATTTAAAATAAAATAACATAAGATCCATCATTATTCTACAGCATTGCTTTTGAAGCAACTAAACATTTCTTAAAATCTAAACATTTCTTAAAATCTCCTTGAGTTTAGCAATTTCTTCAGCATTTTTTTTCAGCTCCATATGCATCTGTTTAACCTGAAATTCAAGGAGGGTCATTCTTCGAGTATTTTCTCCATTAGCAGCAACATCCTTCTTGATCCTATCAATCTCTTCTCCAACAGCATCCGCCCATACTTTGCGAACATGTAAGCCATCATTCTACACCTAATGAAAAAAAGTAAAATCAAAACCCAGATTTGGCAAACCTAAACCCAGAAAATGGATAAGTTCAACCGAATCGCAAAACAGACAGACCTTGAAGTTCTCGCATTGAAAGTATCTTGTTTGAGAAGACCCATCTGTGACAACGATCTGTCCTCCACATGGACAATGATACGTCGGAATTCCATAGTCACCATCCGCTACACAATACAGCATATCGATGTATTTTTTGTTTCTTTTGAACTCGCTGTAACTCTCGGGATCCATAACAAGAGTTTGGGATGGGAGGAGATATTTTTGTTGAGAGAGAAAAGGTTTTTAGAGGACAGAAGTACAAGAGGGACGAAGTAGATCCCGAAGTAGAAGAAGTCCTTTTAAGTAGAAAAAATAGAAAAAATAATGAATTCTGAAATATTTCAAAATGGCGCCATTTTGAAAATTTTAAAATTTTGAAAATTGGGCCAAAACTATACATAGTTGTACCTCTTAGTTGTACAGTTTGTCACACTCTCAAACAGTTGTACTTTTGTCGAATTCTAGTTATTTTGGTATTACCTATGATTAATAAAACATGTGTTAGTTGTACCGATCATAACTGCTAAATTAAAGAGATTACTAGCACATTTATGAAATAATATTTAGGATATGTCAAAGTTTGATGATATTGGTTTATATCAAGGCTATTTGTTTCAAAGTATCCATAAAACCTATGATATTATATGGGATAAGTGTGCCCAAACGGATTTCATAATTTGTAAATTACGGAATACACATTGTTTTTAGTACATATTATACATTTTATATAGATATTTAATTACATATACTCTGAAAATATATGTTATTTTTTAAAATAACATATCTAAACCCCGATTAAATATATAGACAACTTTACAAATAGTTGTTCCAAGTAGTTCCAGTAATACCAAAAACTCGAACATACAATGTTTAGGACAATAGCCGGGTAGTTGTTCCAAGTAGTTCCAGTAATACCAGAAAAAAAAGAATACAAATTACAAATAGCCGGGTAATTGTTCCAAGTGGTTCCAGTAATACCAAATATGTAAACATACAATTTATAAATCTCCCGGTAGTTATTCCAAGTAGTTCCAGTAATATCAGAAAAAAAAATACAAATTACAAATAGCCGGGTAGTTGTTCCAAGTGGTTCCAGTAATACCAAAATTCGAAAATGCAAATTACACAGTCTGGTTTGACTCCGCCTTTGTCCCGTCCGTCTCCGCGTTTGTCTCTGAACCTTGACTACAATGTAACCAAGTCCTTGCAAACTTTTGTCCTGGCAGCCATTTGTTACCACGGCGGTGTTCTCCCGTGGATGTGAACCTCTTATCCCTCTTTCTTCCTTTCTTTCGCTTGGGAAAATCTGGTGGTTTGCAGAAAAAAAGCCACATGTTTCAGCTGGAATTAACCACTGATATCTAGGCGGTACTGGATAGATCGTCCTCACGTATGCCAACTTCCACTGGTCAGTCCAATAATATCTAGAGCACAGATCATGGTAATGGAAATACCTGGATCTATCTTTTTGTTCGTTGTATTTCATAGCTGCAGCTAACGCATGTACACAGGGATATTTGTCTATGTCAAAATGCTTGTACTCACAAGTTTTCTGTACTCACAAGTTTTCTGTAACAAGTATACCACATAAGCATTTCCATCTTTTCCAGTAACGTTGTATATGAACTCGAAACTGTTTAGTTCCACAACAACTAGTTTCTTGGCAACTAAATATCTCGAGTGCAATATATTCTCCACATAAGGCACTAATTTCTCTGTCACCTGACCAAATGCAGCCTCTTTCCTATGTCTGTTAAACCATTCACTAAATTTTGCTACAATCACATCGATCATAGCCAAAATTGGTAACCTCCTAAATTTCTTAAAAACACCATTTATCGACTCTACACTATTACTAGTGTCAATGTGTACCTTTCACCAGGAAAATAACATCTTGCCCAGTATTTCACACTATAGATGGTCTATGTGCCACTTTCCTGCCCTTTTTCAAGATAAGTGACAGCGGTTGGGTACCTCCTTTTAAATTCATCATACTTTTTCAGAAACTCAGCTTCTGTGTACACCCTTGCACACTCTCTGAATTTTTCAGCGGCCTCCTCTTTATTCACATAATAAACATGAGTGGATGTTCGTATTTACCGATCCAACAATCAAACCAAATCCTGAGAAAATACAGTCTGTTTCGATATATGTAATTCAACCAAAAATATATCCTAATCAACCCAGATAGTGGAGATGAATACAAGTTCAATAACAATCAACGGACGCTTCAATAACTCGTCTTCATCCAAAAATCAAAACCTGCAGTTGTTCTTCCCAAAAACAAAAAATTCCCAAATAAAACCTGCATTCAAAAAATCTATGTACATTTTCTTCAACTAATAACATAACTTACAATAAAGAATACTCAGCTTCAATAATTGTTAGCGGAATCAATAGAGAGGAAATGGATGGAGGAGGTGCCGGGGAAGAAAAAGCTCAGCTGCAGGTTTTTTGTTTTTTTTTGGTTTCTCATTTTTTTTCTCATTTGTTTTCTTTTTATTTACAATATTTATAAAACATAAAAAAAATATAATATAAAATTAATTTCATTAAAGGTATATTCGACAATTCCAACAAATGAGAATATTTAGAATTTTTAGAAATATAGCAGAATGATTTTTGAATGATTTTTAAACACTCTAGCACAGCGTCCTCAACCATAAGAATCTTTTACAAGAGAAGCGACAATTAACACACTAAGCTGTATTATGTAAACTCTATTAGTGACGTTTTCAATCAGCAACAGCTTACCATATAAAAAATCCTCGTTAAACAACCATACGGAACATGCAAATCTGCTCCAAACACATATATATCAAACAAAAAAGACTCTTGAAAACTTTCGTATGCAAAAATAGAAACTAAAAAGAAGATATTTGTTGCAAAAACATAGTCATTTTTATATGTTTTGATAATGTTATCGTATAAAAATACTTCATCCATTTTAGAATAAGTGATGGTTAAGATTTTTTGACATAAAATTCAGAAATCATTTAATGGTATGGTTTTTTGTCTTCAAACTAAAATACAGAATCATCTATTATCTACATAAATATATCAATAAAACAATCTTGACATAGGTATAATGAGTTCTTGTTGCAAAAACATATCCATTTTATGTTACAAATTTAGGAGATACGAATAAGTATATTAGCCAAAAAAACCAATTAAGTATATTTTATTTTACAGAAAAAAGTAAGTAACAAACTGAAACAAATTTGTCAAGAACTGTAATTTAATGCTCGTTGTCGTTGGTGAGATACATGCAACTCTTGTTTAACGTTTTAAATTAATTTTAAAATTCTTGACAAATTTAATTAAATATTCATATAATTTTTGTTGTTGCATATTTTTGTACATATATAGATAAATCAAATTAAAGTTGAATTAATATTTTGATTAATGAATATATATCTTAAATTATAAAAATAAAATTAAAACCCATAACTCAATCCTCACAAACAATATCCTATCTCCAAAACACGTACGCCGATTGCTTAGTATCCGTTTGGTTTCCCAAGAGAGAAACGCATTGAATTATTTGAATACATTCGGATTTGGGAGTTTCAATGTACTCATTGAGTAGTTGCAGCTCCTCCATTTCCAAAGTCCTCGAAAATGAAAGAGGAGAAAATGTAAAAAAAAGAAGTCATTTGGACCGTCGTTTTTTGGTTCTCTATATATTCAACCTTCGATCATTTACCTGAACAAATCAATGTTGTGTTATAGTTATGGCAACTCAAACCAACAAATAACGTTTCTCGGGTGGATTTGCAAAGGCCTTGGAAGAGCAATGACAAGTTGACGTACGGCTCAAGGCAAAGGACAGTGACGAGGGTTCAGCTTTATCCGCCCACAAACTAGTCCTGGTTTTCTTCTTCTTCTTCTTCCTATAATCCTCTGTCTTATTGATCATCATTTATTCATGAGCTTTACGTAACATATATGTTTGCAATTTAAATAGGGATCAAGATCAGAGGTTTTCAAGAAGATTTTGGAATCAGATGAGGTTAAGACTTCGGCTAACCCGGTGGAGACGGTCACACTCTCAGAGATGACACAAGAAGGGTTAGAAGCTTTAGTTGAGTTTATGTATAGTGATGGCTCTATGCTTTCGGAGAAAGTGAAGCAACACGTTAGATCACTCTATCTTGTGGCTGACAAATATGAGATTTTGCATCTACGGGACCTATGCAGAGACGAGCTTATATCTTCTCTGAATTCGTCGAATGCTCTTGAGTTCCTTGAGCTCGCCCAAATCCCTTTTGACAAAGTCCTCAACGATGCAGCCTTCAACTATATTATAAGGAAAATAAGTATGATTGCTAGCTCTGATGAATTCAAGTTGTTCGTCACCAATAACCCAAATCTCTCTGTGGAAATAATGAAGGCTTCTCTCTGTCCGACAAGTATCGACGAGTACTGACATCACCGATGTCATTAGTTGTGGTTGCACTTGTTGCTTTCAGAAAATAAATATGGTCCAATTTAAATTTTAAATCTTTTGTTTACCGGTCTGCTCGGCTCCTTGATACTGACATCACCGATGGTAGAAGAATCACGGTGTTGCTTTTCTTGTTTACTTTGACAAACCATAAATCTGTTTTTTTTTTCCACTTCTTGTTTCCAAAACATGACGAAACTCATAATTATGTAAAAAAAAAAAATTAAATATCAGTTTAGTGACACCTTTAACTTATCACTAGCTAACGGATCCACATTATGTGCAAGCTAAAATCATTTAGTAAGTAAGAGCATTTCCAACCCTGAACCTCTCTTTGGGTTTATTGGTTTTTTTTTTTAATTTTTAATTTTTTTTAAACAGTGATGAACTCCATGTTTTTTTTTATCTTCCAATCCTAAACTTCATTTTGGGGTTCTTTAGAATAAAATATAATAATTTTTTTTGCAAATTTATTTTATTGAGAATTAACTTTGAACCAAAATATATTATAGAAACCACTTTATATTACATATTGCATGAGATGATTTTTTTTTTAAAATGAAATATATAATTTTTGGTTAAAAACATACAAAATAATGACTAAATGAACAAAAATGGGTTTGACTAATCCTTGGACCTTGATATAGTTGTCTGAGGAAAGCCACGCTACTGGTCTGACCTAGATGCACAGTCAAGACAACATAAGTCATGTTTTCCTTTATTGAAATAGTTGAACAGTTAAGCTATTTCCTATCAGAAGGTCAAAATGAGCAAAGCAATTGGGTGTCCGTATCCACATAGAGTTTGTTAAGTGAACCCATGCCAAATAATTCAAACTTACCACAATCCTTGCAACTTCTTGAGCATTGTGGACAGCAACACTTTTTGGAGAGATCTCAGTCAGGAGTAATATAGCCACCTGTACAGTCATTCAAGAATGAAAACTTAGAGAGCAATGATGCTGATCAAAGAATACCCACACAAAAACGGAAGAAGCGTAGTACTAAACCAAACTAAAGGAATTAAATTTAACAGATATGAAAAAGTATTGAAATAATTATACTTACTGTCATCACTCCAGTGGCTGCACTAACACTAGCTTCCCCACATAGAGCTGTTGCTGCTTCGGTGACGAGGGCAGTTGCCACAATATTCACAACACTAAGACCAACCACAAGACCTCAAATAAGAGCATATTTCAAGCAATCCTCTAACGACAAATTGCATCAAGGATAAAAAAGCAGTACTGATGGTGTTAAGAGACATAGTTCCAATAAGTATAGTCGTCAAGAATCTGGTAACGTCACTCCGGAGCATTCTGAATACACCATTCTCTGGCTCTTTTTCAGCCAATTCACGAACCTGCGATCAACCGCAAATAGAGCAGCAATATTGTAAAACCAATCAGACAAGAGACAGGAGGTGACACAACGCACTCTAAAAAACAACCAGGAAAAACATCTCACAATTGCTTCTTCCTTTAAAGAATCTTAAATCCATGGAAGTTTCAAGTTTCCTAACTAAAACAACATATTATTGCCTAATAAATCTCGTTGTCTCAAAATCAAGGTTTTCGTCCCCATTATAGAGAATACAAAGATCAAACAAACCTAACAGCGTTCTACATTTTTTTCAGCATTACCATCACTAAATCACAGAAAAGAAGGAATTCCCAATCAAATCAAACGAAAGACATGATTTTACCTTCCACAGCCACAGTGTGGTAATGGACGTCTCTGCCATAGAAAAGAATGCTGAGAGGCTGAGTAGCGCAGCCAAGATTAGACCTTGCTCTCTAAGAACTCTAAGAACCTGGTAAATTTTTGGCAAAGCATTCTTGAGCAGCACTACGCTCTGACCAAACACCTCATAGCCTGCTTCCACCACACCTGCCGATGCTAACACCTTTTGGCAACCGTATAAAAAACTCCACACACCACTGATCCTATAACAATCCCACGTTATCAGCATCAAGTCTCCAGCTAAGCACTGATCTGCTCAAAGTTTAATCCTTAAACTATTCTGCAAGAGCACAGATATGAAGTTGTGGTATTACAAGGGTCGAACCACAGAGACAAGAGATCACTCAATAAACCTATTAGAAATCGAATTACGCTAAGCAGAAGTATAAGAAATTAATAGCGATGCAACAGAAATAAACTAAGCAGCAGTAGAAACGGTTTGTAAGATATTAGGCTTAAAGCGTTTCTCAAGAAATCAATGAATGCAGATCAATCGATTAGTCAGGGTTTAGGTTTAAGCACGGTTCTTGAACTCGAATCACAGAATTATAATTAACCAACTTCCGTTATGAGAATTATCTAAGTTAAAATCATAGAATTCCAAATTCCTTTGTAAATCCTACAGATTTAAACCAGCCTTAATGCTCAAGTTCGATATGTTTACAAAGTATCTAAACCAAATTCCTTTGCGAATAGCTAATTTGCTCACCCTAGGTTCTTTCCAGTTATTCAATTACACTTCCGTGTCAATTAAGCAACCTAAGATCTAAGTTCTAGGTGATCAGTCCAGAATTAGCTTTAAGAACAACTTATGGTGAAGAACTAACATATATGAACCCTAACTTAATTAATTAATCAAACATTCAGAGAAAACCTTATTGAGAACCCTAAACCTAACAGGCTAACTACTCAGACATGGATATTGAAACAATAAACATGATTTAATAGATTGCAATAAGAAGAAGATGAATTAAATAAATAAAGGGGTTTGAAATCTTCTCTCTAAACGAACAGACTTCAGACTTGTCTCCCCAAGCTCTCAAAATCGCAAAAAGCCTAAAGCACAAAGTTGTCTTGCTCAAAAATCTAAGGTTAGGTTCAAAAGAGACTAAAAACCCTATTTATATCTCTAAAACACGTATTGGGCTTCTCTGGAAACTTCTGGGCCCAACTCCTTCTTCAAACAGGAAACAAAATCGTGTTTCCTTATTTCTTTGGCAAGTGTCGAGCGTCACTCTCCATGGTGTCGAGCGCCACCAATGCACATGATTCGTCCTTCGCGAATTTGATCCTGATTTAGCTCCAAAGTGCTCCAAAATCTCCAGTTAACCTCCAAACGTACCTAAGACCTGTAAAGACTCCAAAAGACTCAAAAAACACTAAAAAGACTTTATAAATAAGACCTATACCATGGTTAAAAACCATGATATATCAACTCCCCCAGACTTAGCATTTGCTTGCCCTCAAGCAAACAGAATACCAAATAAGAGAAAGAGGTTTGACAGCTAGATGTCAACACAGCATTCCTACAAGGTCGTCTAGAGGATGAAGTATACATGGCTCAACCTACTGGATTCGTTGAAAAAGATGACCCTTCATCTAAGTGACCAGGGCGTTGACATCTAGCTGTCAAACCTCTTATGTCTTTGAGCCATGGTGGAGGAGCTGGCACGAGAACAAGGGCTAGTGCCGGTGGAGGTGAATGATGATCATTTGGAGCTTGAGGAGCAGTGGTTGATGTTGAAGTAGAAGTGTCTATGGCAGTGACGTTTGGTGGTATTTGAGGTGAAACTGGTGCTGGTGGATCAACTGGTAGTGGTGCAGTAGTTTTAACCGGTACGGCAGGTCGAATGATGGAGACAGGCGGATACGTAGGTGGACTTGAATCACTGTGTTCAAGCTGCTCAATTTTACAAGTGTTAGAAGCAAAAGGAAATATTGATTCATGGAACACAACATGGCGAGAAATATAAATTCGTGATGTTTTTCGATCAAGACAGAAATATGCACTTTGATTTGGTGAATAACTAAGAAAAACACACGGACTGGATCTATTATCTAATTTATGTGTTGTATACGGACGTTACCATGGAAAACATAAACAACCAAAAACTCGTAATTTATGAAAATTTGGTGAGTGCCCATGCAATTGTTGAAATGGAGTGGAAAAAGATAGCACAGGTGTGAGCATTCGATTTATTAAATATACGGCAGTCGCAAATGCGTAAGTCCAATATGACTTAGGTATAGATGCATGGGACATAAGAGCAAGACCCATTTCAACAATATGACGATGTCGACGCTCAGAAATGCCATTGTGTTCCGGTGTATGGGGGGACTTGTCATATGAGAAATACCTTGACTAGAGAGAAAACTTGTAAGTCTAATATATTCACCCCCATTATCCGTATAAAGAGTTCGAAGTTTGGCTTGAAATTGATTTTCAACCAATACTTTGAATCTTGTAAAAACTTCTAAAACTTGTGATTTTCTTTTTAATGGATATAACCAAATATAACGAATAAAATGATCTACAAAAATTATGTAATACTTAAAGCCATCTACTGAAATAAGTGGAGATGTCCACACATCAGAAAATACAATATGCAAAGGATGAAAAGATTTTAACGATGAATCTTTGAAAGGTAACTTATGAGTTTTATTAACTGAACAAGCAGTGCATGGCTGAGCCATTAAAACATTTGAAAAAAGCGGTAAATCAAAAGTTGAAACTACTTTTTGAAGAATAGGTAAAGCAGGATGGCCTAAACGAGAATGCCAGTCCGATAAACTAGTTTTCACCACAGAAGCAAAAGCAAGAGATGGTTTAGAAGCTAGAGTTTTCGGCCACTCATAGATGCCGTCTTTAGGCTTGCCTTCCAGACGAAGAGCCCCCGTTTGTAAATCCCTCACCTGAAAGTAGGTTGGTGTAAAAGTCACAGCAACACCATTAGTTTTGTATAGTTGAAAAACAGAGATTAAATCTTTTTCAAGAGATGGAACACAAAGAACATTATTAAGAAAAGAAGGACGAATATAAGAAGGAAGAGAGGAAGAACCAGTGTGGGAAATAGTGAGTCCTGAGTCATCTCCAAAAAGAACATCATCGCCTCCATTATACGGAGTATGGAGAGAGAGGTTCGCAAGGTCTGATGTCATATGATGAGAGGCGCCACTATCGACCAACCAAGTAGACGAATCAGATAGTAACGCAGGATTAGCACGTGGTTGCCATGTTTGCTGTTGGTGAGGTGGTGA